GAGAAGAGAGAGAGAGAGAGAGAGAGAGAGAGAGAGAGAGAGAGAGAGAAGAGAGAGAAGAGAGAGAGAGAGAACTCAGGCAGACCTGCTGTCCTGAACTACCTACCAAACAGCCCCACCCTGGAAAGGACCAGGGAAAACTGCTTTTTATTTCTCTCTTCTTCTCTATTTTTCTTCCTTTTTTCACATCCTCTCAACCCCCCCCCCCGCCCCCTCCCCTTTCTTTCTCTTCTCTCTTAACACACACACAGTACACACCATCCGCATGTATTCCTGGCCCACTGGAAACAAGAACTTTCCAGGCTTCCCAAGACAGAAGCCTCACCCAGGGACCTTGGGCATGACAAATGCCTCGGGACCACTGTGCCCAGGGCTCTTGAGCGGCCCAGCACGGAGACTCAGCTCGTTCCCTTCCCACTTGAGCACTTGTTAAAACGACTTGCTACAGCTCTGGTTAACCCACTCCTTTAATGCACTTTCCTAAAGCCCCAGGCTGCTCTAGACCCTTTCCAGAAAAGCCTTGGCCTGCACGTGTCCTCGCCTTGTTCTCGCAGGCACCCTCCTCCAATCCCGAGACTCAGTTTCATCTTTTAGCCTGCTCCAGAGTCCAGCTCACTGCTTCCCAACAGCTCTGTCAGGCCGCTGCTGACCGAGCTCGCTGGCCTCCACGGCCTCTGCCCACATCCCCAGACGGACTTCCAGCCCTCCTGCCTCTCAGGTGTGCTCACCACGAAAGTCCCCAAAGTCTCTTCCCTTTGTCCCCACTTCCAGGCCCCAGAGGCCCTGATACTTCTTCTACTTAATAGTTTGTTTGTTTTTTTCCCAACAAAAGCCAAATGTAGGGCTTCCCTAGCCAGGCTTCCCTCCGCGCCTGCTCCCCTCTAGTTCCGCTGCTGGCTCTGACTGCCCTCCTCCAGGGTACTAGACAGGATCCTGCCCCAGGGCCTTTGCACCCCTCTCCTTGCCCAGAAAGCAGTGCCTACACCTATCAGGTGTTCACCTCGTTTCCATCAGGTCTCAGTTTGGTCAGTCAGTCTGCATCCTCTCAACAGATCACTTCAAATTTCTTCGTAGCACTTAAATTTTTATGAATTTTCATCTTCCTCCTCCTTTTGTGCTAATTTCCAGAGGGAAAACATTCATACAAGGTGTATTCGTCAGCCATTTGTTACTGTGACAAAATCCCCGAGGAAGCCATTTAAAGAGAGCAAAGGTTTACTTGCGTGCAGTTTCGGGGGTGATGGTCCTGGTTAGCTTGTCCCGTTGCCGTGAGCCTGTGAGGAGGCAGTGAGAGTGACAGAGTAGGACAGAGTGGGAGATGGGTCTGAGGACAGGACATCCTTTGAAAGGCATGCCCTGAGGCCTACTTCTTCCAACTGCGTCCTGCCCCCTTCCCCTATGAACTCCGCAATGGACCAGCTCATTGACAAAGCTGCCATGCTCATAAAGCCAGTCACCTTCCAATAGTGCCCCCAGCTGGGGGCTAAGTCTTCAACGGATGAATCCTTCGAGGTGATACTTCACATTCAAATCATAGAAGATGTGCATGAATCTTGTTTACAGGTTGATGAGTTTTTGTATTAGGTAGACTTTAAAATTTCCTTTTGTATGTATATGTGGTATATGCATATGTATGCATGTTCACATGTATGTGGGCACACATTCTCTTGTGCACATGCATGAAGAAGTCAGAGGTTGACATCAGGTGTTATAGGTGGAGTTTTCCTCACATAACTGCCTGCTCCAAAATAACCGGCAGCCATTTCCCAAACAACTGACTCGGAGACAAAATATAAATTATAAATGCTCCGCCAATAGCTCAGGTTTGTTACTAATTAGCTCTTACAACTTAACCCGTTTCTGTTCATCTATGTGCTGCCTTGAGGCTCCTGGCTTTTACCTCTATCGCATTTTGTGTGTTCAACTCATTCTCCATCTAGCTGCGGACTCCTCTGACTCCACCCTTCCTCATCCCACCATTCTCAGGTTGGCTTTCCCACCTAACTTTATCCTATTCAGCTATTGGCCAGTCAGCTTCTTTATTAAACCAATCATAGTGACACATATTCACACAGTGTGCAGGACTGTCCACAGCGGGGTCACACAGTGTGCAGGACTGTCCACAGCGGG